CAATACAGGCTTGTGACAAAGTCCTGGGTTCAGTAATTTCCTTCCCCTCTTACTTTTCTCTAACTTGGGCTAATTATTCTCTCCTGGGGACAAATTGACCTTCTTTGGAACATTTCATGGATGTTGTCCACACATGGAACTTCAGAAAATAGCATGGTTCTTATTTTACAGGAAATCTGAGATGTATTTCTGTACTACAAAAAAAATAGCTTTAGTTTTCAAATATTTAAGATTTAAAATTTGTCGATGGACCTTGGATGTTAGAAAATATTCTCTGAAAAGCTTTACAAATGAGTCAAGTTTTAAAATATAGGCCTGATAACAGTGTCCAAGCACACACACACACACACACACACACACACACACACAGCCATGAGGTGTTTTTGATCACTACAAGTAGTTCAATAACATAATCAATTCAGGTATAGTGGGATGATAGATGCATTGGTGGAAGGACTGTACTGTACATAGTGATGACATCATAGATCTTCTGAAGTATTGTCATCTTGACCTACACATACCTTCTTATTTGTCATTATATACTTCTGTGTTGTTAAGCTGAAAGGCTAACACTCTTTTGTCACCTTCAAATAGTTAATTCATAGCATGAATCATCATATTACATTTCTAAAAACAGTAGTCCAAAAATGAAGTAATCTGGTCCAGTAAGTTTGTTTGTTTGTTTTTGTAATTGTGCCTTTGACTGTAGGCTCATCTTCCACTCTATGCTATTGGAGGCATAATTCTCTAATAACTCACCTGAATACTTTTGCTTTACTTTTATAATTATTCTTGTCAAGATGAAAAAGAAAATCCTATCTTCCCAAACTTGGGATATATTCCAGGGGGAACTAGAATCAGCATCCTTCCCAAACCTTTGCTCAGGTATCCTGTTTTGGCTGAATATATAGGTTAATGACCTTTTTTTTTATCCTCAGAACATTTTGTCACCAAATAAAGCTGATCACTATAGGCCATGGCCTGCCATTTGCAATAGTTAGGAGAGTAAGGGAATGGGCATAAAACATTCTGATACTTTTATGAAGGAGTCAGTGGCCACTAATGACATCCAAAAGCCTACTTAGCTAGAAATGACCACATTTTCCTGAAGGCACGATTGAGACACAACCATATGACCGGCTCAAACATCAAGGCTGATCACAGGCATGAAAGACAATAGCATAATCAGTCTCAGATTCTCTTCCCTGCTTCACATGTGACTATCCAAATGGTGAAAAAAGAGATTACCAATCATTTGGCCAACCTTGACTATTGAATTGAATATTAAGAAAAAAGAGAATATCACATTAGTTTCAAAACTAAGAACCTTCTGTATCAAAAGCAGGAATATGAAACATCTGATTTCAAATTACCTGATGTGTGTTCAGTGCTTTCTGACTCCATTGCTGTATAGAGCATAGAATAAGTTTTTCAGTTCACTGATAATAATGAAAGGGTGGGGCCCAGATAGCCTAATGGCTCCTCAAATCTCTTAGTCAATTCCAAGCATCATCTTTTTTTTTTCTCTTAGGTGATCAGGGTTAAGTGACTTGTCCAGGGTCACACAGCTAGTAAGTGTCAAGTGTCTGCTCTGAGACCGGATTAGAACTCAGGTCCTCTTGACTCCAGGGCTGGTGCTCTATCCACTGTGTCACCTACCTGCCCCCCCCAAGCATCATCTTTACCAGCATTGGCCATGGGCCATGAACTGATACTCTTATCCACAACTTCTGTGCTACCTACTGCTGAAGCAATGCAAAGTTTTTTCTTGAATGTGAAGCTATATATTGGACACACGATGTGACATACATTAAGGTTATTTGACTAAATCTATCATATAATTGATATTTGTAGATAGCACTACAATATGGATGTGAGCCAACTTTGGAACTAGGGAAAATCTGGATTCAAATCTGGCCTGTTACAAACACTCCCTGTGTGACCCAAAAAAGTCATTTACCATTTTAGTCCTCTAGGCAAAACTTTAAGATGATAAGTTGTAGGGAAAATGCTAACCATCATTGATAAAAGGAGTTCCTTCACACACAAGTTCTATACTCAAACACAATCATAAATCCAATTCCTATTCTATTATGTTAATTAGCCCTTACCTATTTTTAAATCCTCAGTAGCTCTAAAACTCATTATTTCAATTTCATCTACAGTCATAGTGGACTTTCCACAACAAAAGTATTCTGGAAGAGTTGCATTCAGGCATGAGGGGGGGAAAAACCATAGGGATTCTGTCAAATCTATAAGCTCAAAGACTTTCTATTATCACCACTTGATCTGCAGTGTTCACTGAAAGATAACTCCAATTTCTCTGGCCAACTTGGTTTCCTCATGTTTAAGATAACAATGGTGGTCTTCTAGATGACTGCCACTACTAAGATCTCTTTCAATCCTAAAATTCCATGATATCCTCTTTGATATTTTCTTCTATGTTCCCTATTAGTAGTTAAGTAGTACATAAACACACACTTTCATGCATTTGAGATTCATGGGTATTCAAAGGAAAATTTAAATATCATTTTAAATACCATTGTAAATACCATTACTAATATAGCTATAATTTAAATAGTGCTTTAAAGTTGGAAAACCACTTTACAAATATCTCATTTGATCCTCACAACAACTTTGAGAAGGAGGTATTATTATTTTCCCCACTTTATAAATGAGGAAACTGAGGGAGACTAGTGATTAAGTAACTTGCCCAGGGTCAAACAGATTGTAAATATTGGAAGCCAGATTTGAAATCAGATTTTCCTAACCCTAGGCTCAGCCTTCTAACTACTTCTATTTACTATCACAAAGCTGCCACTAATGGCCCCCTAGTGGCCTCTGGGAGATTAGATACCCTTCCTAGTGATTAAGGGATTATACTTGCAGATAACATCTAACATTATCTGATACCAATTGGTCCAGACATCATTACTTCCAATTCCACACTATTTACTGAATCAAAATGCGTACAATGTCCTTGAAATTTCTGCTGGAGCAAGTACATTTCCTTTAAAAACAAGATATGCAACACTGTCAAAGCCAACTTCCTTCATGGTTTTCAAGTTAGGAAAAAGACAGAGTGGAAGTGGAGAAAGAAAGAAATTGTCCCAAATTATAGGCCAGAGCAAGAGGAAAGGGTGCTTTTCCTTCCTTTTTTCAATATGTTATTTTAAAAAAAACTTTTAACAAGAAAATTAAAACTATAAGAGTAGTTTTTAAATAGACATCATAAAATATTTATCATAGAACATTGCTGAGAAAGTCACATTTGTCATGAAGGTTTTGCAAGAAGCATCCTCATATGCATCTACACTTGGCTATACAAAAGTACAACAGCATATTTCATCAAAAAACCACTGAACTCAGATTGTCTCTAATATACACTTGGTAGCCATTACCAGATGAAAACTGGACAATGCAGTCAAAAATGTTGGTTGTTGAGTTGATAAAACAAAGAAGGGCTAAGTTGACTGAATATTTTTCACTGAACAAATTGGTTGAATTCATTCATTCACTCATTCTGTCAACAACTATTATAAAGCACCAACTATGCAAAGGCACTGTGCTAAGATGCTTGGAGGGATTAGGACATTGACCCTATCCTCATTATCATTATGTCAGATTACCACAGTCGAAATTGTATTAGTATCAAAATTACTCATATGATTAGACTACAACTTAAAAACAAACAAATGATATAAACTGAGGAGCCAAATAAGCAAATCCTTTTTCACAGAATGAAAATCAAACAGGCCACATTATTGTTTTGTTGTAAACATATTTGCAAACATATAACTATGTGATGTTGATCTACTTTACAGTTAATCAATAATTTAAGAAAGGCAAGAACAGAAGGCACTTCGCAGGCAAGTTTCATTACAACCTCTGAAAAACAGAAAACATTTGAATTGCTCTCTAGGACTCAGTGCTAAATAAGATTCATTGCTCGTTAGCATAAGGGATGCTTGGAAATAATAAAAAAAAATGCTTTTTTTCCTTAACAGAACTCTCTGCGATCCAAAGGAAATGTTCCTTGTTGCTATATTTGAATATATATATATATGTATGTATCAGGGAAATGGAAAAAAAAACTAATATAATTGTGAAATATTAAAACCAATTCCATAATAAGAAAGGGTTCGGAGGATGTTGATGGGACCAGTATTTATTTGTATCATATAATTATCAGTCCAGGATATATTAAAATAATTTTTTAAGTAAAAAGGATTTTATTATTTCTCCATCATTACATGATTAATATAAAATATTCTATCCAGGAAAGGAGTCACTTTTCTTTTTAAATTAGGGCAAATGATCTCTTAGGTGATGGAAACTTAAAATCTGAACTAAATTAATCTTTGAAATGGTATATTTCCTTCATTTAACATTTGTGAAGCATTTATCCTGGTTGTAAAGAATTGCAAAGTAGGGGTAGCTAGGTATGCAGTGGATAGAACTCCAGTCTTGGAGTCAGGAGGACTTGAGTTCAAATCTGGCCTCGGATACTTGACACTTACTAGCTTTGTGACCCTGGACAAGTCACTTAACCCCTATCGCCTCACCAAAAAGCAAAAAAAAAAAAATGACAGAGTGGTAGGAAATTTTAAAACATTTAAATTTTAGTGGCCCATTCAAGATTAGTGATTTTTTTCAGGCACATTGTCCCATGTAAGTATTTTTTTTTTAAACTGGGTTGACTGAACAGTTAGCATCCTATATTATTAGCTGCCAATAGACGATAAGATAAAATTCTAAAAATAGAGCACTGATTAAAAAATTCTCTATGTATTATCCATCTTTTCAGTTTGCTAACACATAAGATAGTATCTAACTCCCTTATATCAGGTTACCTCCTGCTCACTCAAATAGAATTTTTTTAACCAAAATGGTTTCCATGAACATGAGCTATATACTATTCACAATAAATGCCATATGACAATCAGTTGGAGAGAGTAAAAGATGATGAACAGAAGTCATCATCATCATTTTTTACCAACCTGGTATAGGCTGAGGTGCTAACACCACTGTGGGGAGATGCCTGGAGGCAGGGGCTGGCCTAGATACAGCCACAGCCACCTGGTTTGTCATTAAATGTGGCTTTTCATGTCCATGAAACAATCTTGATTCCTCAGGATGTATCCAAGTAGAGTCCAGAGCAAATGTGTTATTTAAATATATCTGTTCAAGATAAAGTAAAATGAATATCTTAAGTAAGTTGTCACAATAAAGAAAATAAACACTATTCAGTCCTGCCTTACATTGGTTCAGAATAATGGGCATTTGTAGATGATTACAAATTGTGTGACTTTCATAAAGATAGCCTTTCTGAATGTAGTTAGAAGAAATAATTGTTGTTGAATTAATATAAATAAACTATCTCGTACTCAGAATCTACTAGGCTGTGTCTACACCTGGTTTTGAAAATTCTAGCAAAATTCCAGTCAAATTTTGAAAATAAAAGAACAATACTCCAGCTTCTTCCGTATAGTTGGGTAATGGAAAGAATTATGATGAATTGACCCCATAGGGTAATAGATAGATACCTTTCTTTGTAGTAAGATTGACTCTAGAAATCAAGGCCAATGCAAATACAATAGAAAGACAAGGAAACCTAAAATTGATAAACATTATTCCCAGCCAATAAAAGGAGCCCACTCTAGCCAATCCACTGTTTTCAGTGATGTTATGAGCTAAGTGCCATGATATAACAAGGTGGAGATCCAGCCTGGTCATAACTTGGAATGAATTGTTGAGATCTATTGGGCTCATCTATTGAGATGTATTTCAGACTTTTGATTGTAGAAACCCAAACTTTGGCTATGCTACACAATCAAATGGAAATTAAGACATTAGGAATAGACTGATATCTTTGGCCAAAGTAGGTTGCCAAAATGCAGATTTCAGTTCCAAATATCCTTTTACCATTTGGGTGCTTTGTACAATGATCAAAATAATAATTAGTTTGTGACTTTAACTGTCATTGTCTAAGCATAAACAACAACCCAAACTTGTTTAGGGTGGGGGAGAAGAAAGGCAACTATTTTATTAATTACATGCAACCATTGAGAGGCACAAAAATCTAATGAATACAGTACTAGACGAAGATGCCAGAACACTTGCCTGAATTCAAATTTTACATTTGGTTCTTATATTTGTGAGCATGGACAAATCACTTAGCCTCTCACAGAGTCCAATAGCATCTAAATGCATCCACTGAGCTACAGTTGACTTCTGCTTTGGTGGAAAGAGTGCCTTACTTTAATATGTACCATAGACACACACACACACACACACACACACACACACACACACACACATACATACATACATATATATAATATATATATAAATATACATATATATATGCATGCATGTGTGCATTATACATATATAATGATCCCTGATACTGACCAAGTAATTTTAAGGATGCTACAACATAAACCATTCAAATTCATGTGTTCCCAAATAAGCAAAGAAGAAAAAGCATAAAATAGTAAATTCAAAATGTAAGAAAATGAAATGCCAATGGAAAATAATTCAGTCATTGCCTTGAATTAAAAAAAATGAGGCTTTGGGTTTTAATCCAACATATTGATATTTTTGATAAGCCATTCTTGCTGTGCAAGGGTTTAGATGCTTGGTATGTTGCAATAATAATGTTTAAAAATCCTACCGTTTTTCTCTTATAATGACATGTATACAATTTAACAATTAAAATCTATTGATCCAACTAAATTATTGGCATTTTTACCTTACAGTTGGGCATCCTCTTGTCTAGCCAACTTTTCCCTACAGGAGGTGGAAGAGCAGAAGTATATACATGGGGGAAAATAGGGATCAAATCCACATTAGAAGAGGGAGAAAATCCTATCACAGGTGACTGAGCTCCAAGCATCCACTAAAAAACAAAATGATAGAAAAGGGAAATTGAAGTTTTGTTTATTCTAAAATAAATCCACAATGCTTGGGTCTAAATAACTGCTGATTTATATAGAGGTCTTTGAGTCCAATGACTACTTTTAAACAAAAAAAGACATTTATATTTCTAAAAATGATTGAAATATCAAATATATTTTCCCATTCTGCAGTGCTAAATGAGTACCACAATTCATGAACAGTGAACATGATGGTAAATATATTGGTTTAGTAACATTACAAATCAATGTTGAGTACTGCATTCTTGAATACTGACAGAAAACTAACTTCCAAGCATAAAGATACCAGCACATAAATGATGAGGTGATGAACGACCCTTTTCCCAAAAAATTTGTTTAAAGGATTGTCAACTATGAGTAAAAGATATGGCAAAATGTATTTTTTTCACCCTTGGATTGTTTTGATAAACATGAAAAATTCTATATTTCATGACATTTCAAGATTAATGACCCCTTTCTCCCAATTTAAGGCAATAAAAAATCATCTTCTCTTAAATGAACACTTCCCTTAATGACCCTTTTATTTTCTCATTAAAAAGAAGCTTAAGTGTTAAGGCTTAAAGTTTCTAAAGAAAGAAGCTTGCAAATAAAATATAACTACATTATTGAGTCTAGAATGACTAACAAAACCTAATGCATATAACACAATGGTAAAAACTCACATTGAATACAAACAGCTCAAGGTTTTCAAAAAAGATTCTTATGTATACATAAATGAATCCTCATTAGTGAGTAATTAACAAGAGGTGTGGCTTAATGGTAGAGAAAATCTCACAACATCTATCTGATTTTTAAGATCATACATACATATATACATAATACACACACACACACACACACACACACACACACAATTGCAGCTTTCTAAACAGAAAATGTTAGTTCCTTGGCATTATATACCTCTAGTGGTAGCATTCAGACATGGCAAGCTTCAAAATGTTGCAATGGCTAGAGGTTTATTTAACAAATGCAAAAAGAAATTGGACGGATATGAAAATATCACAGATAATTAAATACATGATTTAGTTTTAGTTCTTACAGTCCACTTTTAAAATGATAAAGAGAAGGGGCTGCATCAATTTCACAAGATGCAGCTGGAATGAGATACATAGAAGTCTCCCATTTTTTGCACAACATTTATTCAAACATGCTAATGAAGTTAATGATCAGAGTAAGGGGCAATATCTGCATAGATACCCGGAAGACAACTCAACGAGCATTTACCGAAAGGAGACTTCTATTGTGCCTCCTAATTGAAATCAGTCCTAATTGAAACCATTTTCTCTGTCTTTTTCTGTCTCCTTTTCTCTCTGTGTGTCTGTCTGTCTGTTTCTGTGTGTGTGTGTGTGTGTGTGTGTGCCTGTGTCTGTGTCTGTGTCTGCCTCCCTCCCCCCGTTCTTGATCTTGTTCCTTATATTCTGGCTCCCTCTCATTTCTGCTCTTCTCGCCTTTCTCATCCTCTTATTCGAGACAAACTCTTCTGAAGTGCAGTATATCATGAAACAATTTTATGGCTTCAGTAGGACAAGGAAAGCGGATTCAGAAAACATTAAATGTTACAAGTTCGTTTTCCTAAATACCTTTTTTTTTTCCCCCACCCGCTTCCGTGGAATAAGATTTCCTTTGGTGAATGCCCTAGGTCTTATTTTAAGGGGGGAGGAGAGAATACCCACCCAGATAAGAATGAGAGATAACTATCGATTCGCACACCCCCTTGTTTGCTTTTGAAGTCTGTCAGAGACCGTGAAAGTATTAACTTCTGCGTGTGTAACTCCGCCATGGTAGGTACATGGCTGCAGCCCACGGTCTTTAGCAGCCTGGAACTTCAGCACCAGCCTCCTGGACAGCGAAACCAGTGTAGGAGAAGAAAGTTATCCCGAGGGTTGTCGGTTCTCTGGCCAAAGAGGGTCATCCACCTCTAATGTGACTTCTCCAATAGCTCTGGAAGCATTCCTATACCCCCCCCCCCGCCCCGAGATCCTGAACGGGGGCTGCAAGCACGAACTTTTGGGGGTGGGGACAGAGGGATCGCTGCCAGGCTGCATGTTGATCATTCTGGAAGTCCGAGAACCCTGGAGGATAAAAGCTAGGAAAGCGGAGAGCGAGCTGAAAGGAAGGCATGTGGCCCGGTGCGCTGCCCCGAGAGAGCAAAGGCAGACCCCAGTGCGCCCTGGCAGCTGTGGAGGGACAGGCCCAAGGGAGCACGAGAAGGCAGAGGGGTAGGGGGAACAGGGGTGCTCATCCTTACCTGCTCGTTCAGCAAGGGGTACTGAGGCGCTGGGGGATCGGGCGCCGCTGAGGGCACAGGAACCAGCGGGAGAAAGGAGGGCTCGCAGGGCACCTGCCAACCGGGCACCCCAGGAAGCAGTGGTGGCGGCGGCTGGGGGGGCGAGGGCAGCAGCAGAGGCGGGGGCACAACCCCAGATGCCAGCCGCAAGAGCCCCCCGGAGCTTGGCACCATCCACAGGCAGGGCGGCGGCGGCTGAGGGGAGAGCTCGGCGTTCATCTGCCAGAGCAGTTGAGTGGGAGGCTGCGGGGGCCGGCGGGGCCGCCGCCGCGGGAGGCTCGGACCCGGGAGCATCCTACATGCCCCGGCCGGCCAGCCTGCCGCCCGTCCCCCTGCCCGGCCGGCCAGGGGACGCGCGGGAGGAAGCGCCGCTCAGCCGGACGGGCGACCCTGGGCAGGGGAGGCGGCGGCGGCGCCGGGGAGGGGGCGAGGACGCTGCCCGCTGCCCATCGGTGCCAGGCTCCGGCCGCCTCCTGCCGCCGTCCCCCTGGCTGCGGGCTGCGGGGGCAAGGGCAGGCCTGGCGGCGGCACCTGCGAAGGCGGAGGCGGCGGCGGGAGCCCAGTGGACCCAGACCGGGGCAGCCTGGAGCAGCCGAGCTGAGCCGGGCACCGGAGGCAGCGGTGGCAGAGGCGGCGGAGTCGGAGCTCCACTTCATTCAGAAGCGACGCGCGACGTCGCCCCGCCCCCGGCCCCGCCCCCTCAGCCCCTTCCCCCTCCTTGCCCGGGTGGCCGGGCGGGGTGGCGTGGGGGTCCGCCGCAGCCCCAGCCTTCAGCCTGGTTTTCCCCTCGCTGGCCGAATCAGGCACAGGAAGGGGAGATGTGACAAGGTTGGGAGGGATGTGAGGCTCTGGCCAGCTTCGTCCCTCTGTCTGGGCACTGCCCCTGGAACCCGCCGGTCTCCTCAGGTCAGCCCAGCGGGGCCGGGCATGGGACCTCACTGGCAAGGGAGCCAGAGGGCACCGAGGTGGGCACTTCCTAGAGTCTCCAGGGCAAAGGGCAGTTCTCTATGCCCGGAAAGAGCCTGGCCCAACCAAGGCTGGGAGGTAGGGGGCCCAGGGGGTGAGTGAGGCTTCAGGCTGACCCTACACAGAGTCTTAGACTGTGGGAGTCTGTGGGTGATGAGCTGCTAAGGAGTTTTCATTAGGCATGATACAGTCCAGCCGCGCCCCCTTGCTAGTTACCGGGGAGAAAACTGAGACTCGGGGAGGGAGAGGACATGCCCATTGGCACACTGGCGACTCCAGTTTTTTCTGCTGCAGCATCCTGCTTTCTTCCTCAGCCTCAGACTGAGGGAAGACTGGAAAGCAGGGGAACAGAATTGGGTTCAAGGCCCCGTGGACCTTGCCCCAATCCCTCTTATTCTCAGGCTTTCCTTCTTTGGATTCTTTCCCATTTGTGCTGTATATAGCTTGTTTTGTATATGTTTGTTTGCATGTTGCCTTCCCCTTTACATTGTAAACTCCGTGAGGGCAGAGATTGTGATTTGCCTCTCTTTGTATCCCTAGGGCTCAGAAGTGTCTGGAGCATGATTTTTCAGTTTTTCAGTCCTGACTGACTCTTCTTGACCCCATTGTTTTGTTCCGTTTTTGTTTTTGAGGGGGAAGGGAGTTCTTGGCAAAGATATTGGAGTGGTTTGCCAGTGGATTAAGACAAACAGAAGTTTACTGACTGGCCAGGGTCACACAACTACTGAGTGTCTGAGGCCTGATTTGAGCTCAGATTTTACTGACTCCAGGCTCAGTGCTCTATCCATTGAGCTCTCTATCTGCTGACACATAGTAAGTGCTTAAGGTTGGCACATAATAGGTGCTTAATTGATTGATTTAATTGATTGTATCACCCTGGAAAAGTCACCTGCCTATTGGAGTTTCAAACCAATTTCACAAACAATTTAACATGAATTGCATGCCTTCAATATTCAAGGCAGAATGGCTTAGTGAATAAAGACCTTGCATCAAAATCAGGAAGGCACCACTACTAGCCAAGTGACCCGAGACCAAGAACCTCTTCAAAGGCACAGCTACAAGCCTAAGTTGCAGGAGCTGAAGGGCACACTGAGAAGTGCATTTCCTCCCTGGGATATTGGTATGCCCTGGAAATCACTGGCATAGGCTTTCTGCTTGTTTCTTTGTTTATTTTCTAAGGGAAATGCACTTTACCTGTCAGTGGGTTTACAAATACAGCAAACAGCTTCTAACCATGAGGACCTCAGATTCTGGGGAGGGGGTAGTGGTGGTTGTGGTAAAAGATAGAAAAAAGTATAAACATGAATGTGAAGTATGTGCAAACAATTTCTAGTTGGAGAATGTTTATAACTGAGGGAGTCAGGAACAGTCTCAGAGAGGAGGGATCATCAAGGCTGGGCTTTGAAGTGAGCCTGAGGCTTCTCAATTGCCAATATGCAGAATGAATGAGTGTATCCCGCCCCCCAACCCATAGGGGGATTATTATTTTTTTTTGCAAAGTTCAACCGGGGGGAGGTGGCACTCCATACATAGGGAGTGGATAGTAGGCCAGTTCAATAAGAACTGAGGGCAAATGAGAAGTACTAATCTGAGACAAGATTGGAAAGGGAGGTGAAAATAAAATTGTGAAAGGTTTTCAATAATGGCAACCTAAGGATTTGGGTCTTTATCTTAAAGCCATTAGGGAGCCATGGAATTGTTTTTATATGTATGTTTTTTGTTTGTTTGTTCTGAAGTAGTAGAAATAGAGGGAGGCCTGAGGTGGGCAAATCTAAGTCTTAGTGCACATATCAATCTGAGTTACAGCTGTGTGAAAGCTGGATTATAGGAGAGTGAGGAAAAAACCATTCAGGAGCCTGTGGCTTTCCATCCCAGAGTTTCTGAGCCCCTGAACCAGTGGAGAAAGTGTGTGAGTAGAGAAGGGAATGGATGCAAGCAGCATTGAGGTAGAATAGACTAGAATTTACAATGAATTGGACATGAAGCACTAGAAAGGGAAAGGTCAGGGATGACTCTGAAGCTGCAATCCTGAGTGAGTACATTGATGGGAACACAGTTGACCAGTTCCAGTTGTGGAACTGGGTTGTGGAGCTGCTCCTTCTCTCTTTTCTTCTCCTCTCCCTCTCCTTTCCCCTGAAGGTGTTCTTCCCAAATGAAGGTAAATTTTGATGGTAGAAAACCACCTAGTTTACTTGAGGTTTACTGGCTAGATTTCTTGCTCAAACACCAAGTCTTAAACCCAATTCATTTGGATCTCATGGATTGGACAATAGGTCCCTGCCCAAGCACCACTTACTGGTTATTTTTTGGGCCATCCTGGCTCAGAGTGAATGTAAATAGTAACCTTTTTTGATTTGGCCAGGAACCCTGAGGGTATTCCCCTCCCTGTTTGATTTTTTTTTAATCAAAGGAGACATCCCTTGACTCACTTCTTAAAAAGGCCTATTCACTGAATGGGTGTTGCCTCATTCAAAGTGAGAACCTGGAAAGACCTTAACTTAAAAGGGCCTAGGTCTCCCACTGCATCCTGGGCCATCTCCAGTCGTCCTAATCAATATCTGACCACTGGACCCAGATGGTCTGGAGGAGAAAAGTGAGGCTGAGTCAGTTGCAAGTCATGTCATCATCTCCCTGATGTCATGGTTTTCTTTGAGAATGAAGGACAAACCACACAACTGATGGTGGTGCTATCAACAGAAAATGATTGATATGGACAATGTCTGCTTTAGACATGTTGAGTTCCAGATGACTTTCAGACATCCAAATGGAGATGTCCAGCAGGCAGTTGGAAATAGGGGACTGTAATTCTGATGAAATATTAGAGTTTGATATAAAGGTTTAGAATTCATCGTCATAGAGATGGTCGCTGAATGCATAGGATCTGATGAAATCACAGAATGGGTAAAGTGAATAGATGGGGTCCCAGGGCAATAATGAATAATTTTAGGGAGTAAAGTGTCCAATAAGTAGCCGTGGATGATAAAGTCCAGACCTGAAGAGATAAAGAATGAAAAGAGAAAACCACTGGATTTTGTCATTAGCAAATCTTTAATGCTTTTGGAGAGAACAATTCCATTGATGTGATGTGATGAGAAACCATATTGTAAGGAACTAAAAAGTGAGTAGGAAGCAAGAAAATGGAGGCAATGAGCTTGGGATGTGAGCTTCTGAAGAGTTTGGCTATGAAAAGTGGAAATAAGGGATGGCCGTTTGTAGAAATGGCAGCATTGTACATTTAGTGTTCTTTGTAATTTGTTGTTGTAGTTGTTGTTTGTTTTGTTTTGTTTTTAGAATAAGGGAAGCCTAGAAATATGTGCATACAATAGATAAGAAACCTGTGGATAAGGAAAGATCTAAGATAAGGGAAAGAAAAGGAATGACCAACTCCCAGTACAGATGGGAGGGAATGCTACCAAGAAAACAATTCAACCTATCAAAGAGATAGACCACATTTTCAGCAGAAATAGAAACAAGGGAACCAAGAACGAGTTTAATTGTGAGTGTTTTGGAGAATTGGAGTGAGATAATGGAGGACTTCACAACAGATGGCCTCTCTGCTCTAGAGACAAAGGTCTTTGCTGAAAGGGAGAGAAAAGGTAGCTGTAGATCAGAGGTTCCTAAACATATTTGTCCTACTGCCCCCTTTTGAAAAAAAAAATTACTCAGCACAATGGAAATCTACTTTCTTTAACTTTTTAATTTTTTTTTAATTTGCATAATTTCAAAAAATATATAAAATATTTTAAGTGATACATCTTAAATGTAATAATTTACTGTAAATTTGTGGAGCTTTTTTTCCCACACTGAAATTTTGATTCCACAATATTGCATCATGTAACCTTAGAGTATCCTATTGCAAACAAGTCATTACACACACATTCCTTTTTATATATGCTGGACTTCCTGGCAATGCATAACTTGCTCACCTGCCAACACTTGCTTGTTAAGGCCTGTCTACAGACGTGGCCAGTTATAACTCACATTTTGTGTGTTTATTTGGAAAATAATGTAATCACTACAACTTTAACTCTATTGCACAACAGATGAAACATGTATGAACAGTTTTTCAAACTTCTCTTCTTTCCTTATGCTTCCACTATCCCATTATTTTTATTTAATGCCCCTCCCAATTGCACCTGAGGATTATTCCAGCACCCCTCCACTGAGTGGTATTGTCCCCTTGGAGAACTTGTGCAGATCATCTGAGGAAAGAAGAAAATGTTAATAGCCATTATGGAGAAGATGCCAGAGGGTCAAAGATAAAAATTAATCCATAAGCATTTAATAAGTGCCTGCTGTTTGCCAGGTATTGTGTCAGGAAGTAATTA